GCGGCAAGCAAAACAGCAACGATCTCACGCGAGGACCCCGATAAGCTCTGTAGATTGAGCATGCCAGGGCTTGGCAAGCAGTTGTTCTGGCACAGGAATGCCTCTGCCTCCCTTGCCTACGGGTAACAGCTCCCCAAACCCTATTAAGCCACGCACAGATGTGTGTTTGAGTGGCTGCCACAGTCGTGAGCGCATTCATCGCTTGAACATTTCTCGGCTCGTGGGGCGGTTATACTTTCAGCAAGAGCCCTGTCGCCTTACCTTGGCTCAACAGGATTGGGCACGAGGCGGTTTTGTCCAGAGGTGTTGCATCATGTGGCAACTTGGTTTCATTCGATTCGGAGGGCGTCATGTGGACTCTTGTTGGACAGGCCCGTTAGCATTGTGGTGCTTCTGGGGCTTTGGGGTTTTCGCCAGGAGTTGTGAAAGCGGTGATGATGATGATGATGATGATGATGACGAAGCATCTCGGCCCGAAGCCCCGTTGAGCCATCCTAGTCGTATGTTCGCCTTCATGCAAGCGCTTTTTCTGTATTGGGTGACGCTGACCGTCATGAATGGACCCGAGCCCTCTTTCTTCTACGGGCATGGAGCAGGGTCAGGATGGGCACACCTTATAGTGGGCCGCCAGGGTCCCAATTCCCTGGAAGGCAGGCGAGCGGAGAACATTATCGATGATTACAACGCTGCCTTAGATGCGAGGGTTGAAGTAGCTCCCGCCGTTACTTCTGAAGCTGCGCCTGCAGCGCCCACGAGCAAATTACGTCAGGCAAAGCCAAGCGGAGAGGCTAAGCAAGAGCCGGCTCGCATCAAGAATGCCAAACGGGCATACAGGCGGGCAGTTCAACGAGCACAGCGATCCGTAGACAACACGACGAGATACCGTGGGAGACGCCTGCATCTGCAGCAACTGGGAGGTCCGCACTTGACTGTGCGACGCGAGACGAACGCCAGCCCAAGACGCACCGCAGCCCCGGCTGACAGTGGGCCTAGACTGCGGATACTCACCACGAACCTCGGTGGTACGTGCAATGCCACCTACGACATCCTGATGAATTGGCTCGAGGAGAAAAAGAATGAGTACGACATTATACAGTTGCAGGAGGTACACTATGGCTTGGGGAAAGACTTCGTAGAGTATCAGACAGACTCGTGGATAGTGGTGTCCAGCCCGGACCCGAAGCACCGATGGGCTGGAGTGGCCACGCTGATCTCACGCCGCTTGGTTCTGCAGCAAGAGGTCCGTCACAACGTATTGATACAGGGCAGACTTTTACACGTGCGGTTCCCCATAGGGGTTGGTAAACAACATACACATGTTGACCTAATCAATCTGTACCAATGGGCCTGGGACAACGACCCTGCCAAACAGCAATTGGACAAGCGCAGGACTGTCTGGGAGAAGGTGGGTAGACTGCTAAGAGCCTTGCCACATCGCAACATCATTTGCCTGACTGGCGACTTTAATTGTACCCTCACCCAGGACAAACCGCATATTGGCCCAGGACTCTACAAGAGCAGCGCAACACATCCCGACGCAGAGGAATTTGCGCAGGTGCTGGCATCAAGCCAGCTCTGCGCACTCAACACATGGAGTGCCTCAACGCAGGCTTACACCTACCAAGAGCCAGGCGCCACAGTGAAGCGTAGCCAAATTGACTACATCATCGTAAGTCCAACCGCAGCCGATGGCCAGGCAAGACGTTGCAAGCCTCACAAGCAGATTGACTTCTCACCGTGGCGAGAAGGAGGCAAACATAAGGCCCTCATAGCTAGCATCAAGGTCCCCCACTTCCACCCTAAGCCTGCCAGGCAAGTGCCGCAAGGCCTCTGCAGGAGTTCGCTCCGGGAGGCCATTCGAACGGCTGCACCTGAAGCCCTGGTCCTGAAACACTTAATACGTGAACGTTTGCTGCAGGCAACGCCAGATGCAGCGCAGACCCTGACGCGGCAAATCCATGACTGCTGCGTGGAAGTCTTTCCGCAGCGTGCTGTCGGCACCGCGCTTCGGCCATGGCAGCAGCCGGAGGTGAAACTAGCAGTCAAGGATCTTTGGGAACGCTACCACGAACTTAGGGAACCCAATAGACAGTTCTATCAAATGTCCGTAACAGATCCGGATGCTGACTTGAAGCAGTTTGCGTTCGATGCACTTCGCAAAGTAGCAGCCTTCCAGAAATGTCAACGTATCCTCAAAACTCGTGGAAAGGAACGCCGACAAGCGCTTGTGCATGCTACACTGCGAGAAGCAGAAGACGCCGCCGAAGCTGGGGATATGCACGCCCTGTACCAGAGTATACGTAAGCTCGCCCCCAAAGCCCGGAAGGAGAAAATTCAAATAAGAGATAAGAACGACCAGATTCTTAGTCCCCAAGCCGAATACCAGGCCATCCACGACAACTTCGAAGCTCTATACAGCCAAGGACCCCCCAATAAGACCGTCACGTACTATCTCCAGCAAGCATACGCGGTGACGGATGCTGAGATACTTCGTAGTCTTCAAAGGCAGAGTTCTGGTAAAGCGGTCCCACAGGGGAAGGTGCCGCCGGAAGTATGGAAGCTTTGTAGCTCTGAAGTCTTGACACATGTGCGTAGGCTGTTTGACAGGTGTCTGGCGCCGGGGCCCATTGCTCTGCCGACGGACTGGCGCGACGGGTGGCTTTGTCTACTCCCTAAGCCAAATAAACCCACTAAGATCCCCAAAAACCTTAGGCCGATAGCCTTACAATGCCCTAGGCAAATGCCTCGCGCGCATAATTAAGGAACGCCTTCTCGCAAAGGTGCTCCCCCTGATGGAGCAAGTCCCACAGTATGCCTACCTCCCTCACAGGAGCACTTATAATGCCATCAGTAGGGTAGCTAGGCACTGCCAATCAGCCCGACAGCTCCTGGGAAGCACCCGCCGGGAAGTGCATGACCGCCGCGCCGGCACGCGATGCGTAACGGCAGCTGGAGCCGCTGCGCTAAGCATAGACATGAGTAAGGCCTTTGACCAGGTAAGTCACGCATACCTAGCTCAGGCCCTCGCTCATCACGGCGTAGACCAGGACACTATACACCTGATCCTCGCACTTCACCAGGCAGAATATCACATCAGCCACCAGCAGCACCAAGGCTCCATAGCCATTCGAAATGGCATCCGTCAAGGTTGCGTCTTATCTCCACTGCTGTGGGTTTGCGTAACTTCATTTATGCTCCACCGCCTCGGATTGGCTACCAGCGCCGGCTGGGTCCGCGAAGCGGTCACAGCTTTTGCAGATGACTTCATCTGCACACATGACCTGCGCTCCCTGCAAGACGCGGCCGATATGCAGCACCGGGTACAGCAGCTCTTTCGTATATTGGCCGAAGCCGGAATGCAGGTCAATACCGAGAAGTCGCAGTTCCTCATTAAGGTTACAGGGGGTGCCCTTAAGAGATGGGTACAGAAACGCAAACATCACATACGGGATGTGGCACATGTTAATCTAGGCACCCCCTTTGCGCCACTGCCGCTGGCCTGCGTTGACCAAATTGAGTACTTGGGTGTGGTTGTAAGCTACGGCGCCTATGAGGAGCAGACGTTGGCCAAACGCCTAGATGCTGCCAGGGCTAACCTAGCTAGGCTTTCCAAGTACCTCTTCGGTAAACGAGGCCTCAGCCTGCGACACCGAATCAGCATGTACAGGGTATGCGTCCGCAGTGCCACGCTGTACGGACTGCCGGCAGTAGGAGTAACCGAAAAGGGCCTGCAAACACTGCATAAATTTGAAATCAAGCATTTAAGAGCCATTGCCAAGTCGCCGCGGCACTTAAGTCATGAGACCAATGCAGCGTTGATGGCACGCCTCGGCTACACACCGGTGGCAGAGGCGCTAGGAGCCCTCATGCAAAACCGGCTGGCAGCAATGCACGCTGCACAAGTACCGTTCCCGGGGCTGGAGCCAGAGATTGCATGGCAGCAAGAATTACATACCCGCCTCGTCGAAGCTCGACACCTCACGCAGTTGACCAGCCTGTTGCCCTGTAGTCAGGACGGTGTTGCATGCCCCGAATGCGGTCTGTATTTTCCCAACCGAAGAATTATGCGAGGCCACGTCAAACGCAAGCATGGATATAGCCTAGTGCCAGAGCAGTTTGCTGATAAGAAAGCCAGGTATGAAATTGACATTACGCAACACTGCGTGGATGGCATGCCGGTATGCAGGCATTGCAGGCGTACATTTCGGAAGTGGCGTGGCTTCCAAGACCACATCCTACGCGGCTGCCAGTCTATGACTTTGCCCCTGACGGCAGTGTCACAGGGCGCTGAGACTCAGCCTTCGCCTCCGCTGGCTCCCGCTTTGCAGTTCGCTGCGGGGAGCCAGCCAGGGCCAAATGCAGCAGATGAACAGCAAGACCCTCCTCATACCCCTGCCGCCAACGAGAGATCCAGCATCTTACGCCCCTTCATTAGCGAGCCACAGCTAATGCAACAACTTGTAACGGACTGGGTAAAGACGGCTGAGGAACAGGGCGCTGTGCTTAGTAGTCACTGTGCATTCTGTACGCAATGGTGCTCCAAAGAAAAAGGGGGCATCAAGAACCACATCCGGCGAATGCATCCTGATCTCTGGAAGCACAAGGAAGATGTCAATCGCAGGCTCAAGAAGCACTATACCGGCTTAGGTACAAAGGCCCTTGCAAGGCTTGCGCTTTCCAGCCCCTCAGTACCGCCGCGCACCCACCCGTCTGCACTGCGTATTTCCAAGCGTGTTTGTTGCACACAATCACTACGCATGAGGTCACCCTCCATGACTGGCAAGACCGAGCAGCCAAAGACGACGGAGGCGGAGGAGGAGATCGGGGATATGTTCTCGCACCACTTGAACCCTCGCACAAGGGCGCGGGAGGAAGCGGAGCCAGCCGAGGACTCTCGGAAGTGGCACAAGCCGAGCAACAAGGGGGGCAAAGGACAGCCCTGGGGCCGCGAGTGGAACCGATGG